ATATACACTAAACTTGTTCCATAAAATCATTCACATCTGGAAAACACCTCACACTACTGATTAAATCAATATAATGTGAACCTAATACTTTAGTGTTTGGAACTATAACACATTCACAAAAATAAGATCATTTCGTTATGAAAACTAAAACAAAGAGAATAAGAGGATAAATAGAGATATATTTGACCTGGATCCTTCAACAATTAATTGAATAGTTTTCGGATTCAATTATGATGCTTCAATGGCCGATTAATCGATCTATCTATCTATCTATTTATCTATCTATTCATATATACATATCTCTGATAAATGTACACAAACTCTAAATGTTCCACATTCTATACATCTGTCAGATGATTATTTTACAATTATACAAATGTCATAATTAATTACTAATAGATTAACCTGATTTAATATTTAGTGACATTTGAATTAATTGTGGTTGTTTTACTGGTGAACATCATTGAATGCAAAAACACTAATGGAATAATGTAAAGAGAAAAGTTGTTGAAAGCGGTAGAAAGTACGCAGAAATATCCTGTCATATTATGACGTATATCAACGTATTACAATTAAAAATCGACACCATACTGAACTCGAAAACATCATGTTTCTCTTCTTTTATGTTCCGATTTCAATGGTTCACTTGGAGAGTAGTCGACAGTTCTTCCAATTTCGGTCGGCGGTGTCAAGTATTTTCACAATTGTCTATTACACCTCAATCTACATTAGTTCTACAACTGATATCACACAATGCTCAACAATCTCTCTCTCTCTCTCTCTGTCTCTCTCAATTGAACACACCTCTACAAATCGTGTATGTGAACAACTACAATGCTAACAATTCATTTCACACTCATTTCATTATCAATGAAACCAACCAAACACTAAATCATTAGAGAATAAACGATCATCGACTAATTCAAATAAATCATTTCGAAGTAATGAATTGGAAATAGTTCATTGGAAATTACTGTCTTATTTAGCCTATTGTAAACGTCCTAAACTTTCCATTTTCTATTCTATTTCATTTCATTTGAATAAATTTAATAATCATTCAAATAAGCGTTAGTTATGTCACATATAAATGGGTTGTAATACTAGTAGTAATAGTATCATTAGTATTATTATTATTATTATTATTAGTAGTAGTAGTAGTAGTAACAGTCAAAGTAAATTTTGTTGCTGTGTTTATTGTTTCATAATAAAGGTTAATGATTTTGTAAAGATCCATAGGACAGATTAAATGAAATAAATATGATATCTCATTAATTTGAAAAGGTACAATTAAGACATTATTCAGTGACCGATTAGTTAGATGGTTGGAGGTAATCGATAGGTAAACTTAACTAATCATTTTTTCGTGCTATTTATTATGAACCAGAAAAGCATACCTTCCATACTTCAGTAAGTGATGCTTCTTGTGTGATTCGATCTCATATCAGCTCGCCTCGAAGTTTTAGACGTCAGTTCTAACTTATTTGTTCACGATTCATTTCGTACGGTATTGGGGTATTTACAGTGAACAAATAAGTGAGTAATCCCTAATGTTATACTTTTCTAATCCTTTAGTATTGATTGAATTCCATCGATTAAGTGGCTATGTACTGGCCTTTAGTTTAAGTGGTTCGATTTCGAGTGTACAATCTTTAGATGTTCTGTGATTAGAATCAGTAGAGTCAGCAAAACCAATAGCCGCTACACTAATTCTTGACCTATAGAATTTGATCAATACTGGAGAATTTATTAAACATTAGGCAGTCCACTACTAAATGATTGATTCATTATACACATTTAGATAATATTCATTTCATATCAACTATTTATCTTAATTTATTAAGTACTCAAATCAATATTTAATCTTAATGTTTCCCAGTTTTTCTTAGTAATGTTGACTACTATTTGAATTTAAGATAAAGATCTTGGTAAACAACAAGAAAAAAAAACAGTTAAATTTATCAAATTCATCTTGAACTCCTGACTTCATTTCAATGATCAATTCATCGTCGGCTCTGATAATTTAAGTTTATGTGAATAGAAAATAATATAAACAACAATATTGAAGAATGATTTATGAAAAAACAAACACATCATAAATCAGAAGCGGTTTGGTAGAGATTGTAGTAATTTCAATAGTTAAGATCATGAGTCAATTGAAACTATACCATCATGGAAAACCTAGAAACATTGGATAGCCATTTCGTTCTATTGTGGGATTCATCAGTGGTGCATATCCAATATTCCACACACGGAACTCGAACCTAGGATATTCGGTTTCTCGTGTGAACGCTTATTATCCAGACCAGTGAGTTGTCGTCCAACAATGTTGGTGTCTAACTCCGACGAATCCACAAAATTGAGTGATACATCCACCATTGTCTTCAATGAGTTGCTATGTCACAACCGACGCGGTTGAACTCCACTGGTCAGTGCTTCTCACTATAGTGAGAAAATACTTGTCGTAGACTGTCAATGTAAGCATATGTTGATTGTTATCAGAAGACGTTTTTGTGGAAATTATAGTAATTTAATAGTTGAGTTCATGAGTCGATTGAAGCTGGATCGCCATGGAAGATCTGGAAGCACTGAACAGCCGTTTCATTCTACCGTGGGACTCTTCAGTATTAAGCATCCAGTTCTCAAATTTTTTTTAACAATACGCCTATATTAATCTCAATTTGTAAGATTGATCGATAAGATAAGGAAGGAACAGTAGTGATATGTCAATTTTTTAAAAATTTACATTGAATTCAGCAAATACTCTTATAGGTTAAGTATATTTTGATTAGATCCCAGCTTATTATTAACTTTTATAAGGTATTTGTAAACATCTAAACTTTACTCATTCAGCTTCATTAAAAAAAGTTTATTGAAGCTGATGAATTATATATCATAGATTCTATCAAGTTGTTTGATTTGTGGCTAAATATAAATATATTTTTTTTGTTCCCAAGCAAAATTTAATTCACTCATTTCCGAATCATTACAAATTAAGTTCAAATTCATACCTAATGCACATATGTACGGTTATTTGGACTTAGTAGTTGAATAGATAATGCATTGAATATGATGTTCGTATTCTGGAGTAAATATCAACTCTGAGGTGCACGTACACCTGATTAACAAACCTATAAATAGTACGAAACCTGAGCTGTAGATTTCACTCTTAGTCACATGCTGTGTATACTAAATCACTATAAAATCAGTTTAAATTACGCCTATTACTTCTCATGAAGGAGCGTAGGCCGCTCATCAGCATTCTCCATCCAGATATGTTGCGTAGTGATTTGTCACAATATTCCGTGATCAAGCATAGGTCCTTACATATAAAACGTTGTCACATATACTTTCTATAGGATTGAAACTCCCCACTGTCATTCATATGTTTTTTCTATTTATGTTACTAAAGTACAACTTTACATTCAAATATATCACTGTATATAACAACTTGATATTCATTATAATATTATTTGATAAATGAACAAAATAAAAACTGACATTAAGATATAATAGGAATAATTCATAAAGAAACATAAAGGGAATAAGTCAATTTATATTTTGTTCTGAGAATATAACCCCTAAAGATAAAATCTATTATGACTGACGTTTAAAGTACACTTAAGAATCAGAAATAATCTACAGTAAACAAATGAAATTGAATAATTTTAAAAAAACACGGTTAGTTATTGTATAGAAAGGAAAACAAATAGCGAACAACATTGAGAACATTACACAAGTTAATCGTTACCTTGGCAAATTTATGAGTTTACTAACTTTATCTACAATAATATATTAAATTCACTTGATGTTGTTTTACCCCTCCTATCTTCCCATTGTTATTTAGGACTGATATTGATCAGTCTCATGCTGACATATGTGCATCCTTTGCGGACTGCCTCGATATTGTCTTAAGTCACAAGCTTTTTTTCGAGTCTCGGAGTGAACTTCAACTCAGGGATGCAGGTACATCCAGCTGAAGAGTCTCAAAAAGGGCGAAACGCTCGTTATAGATTCCACTGCTAGTCAATATCCATCTTTGTTTAATAATGTATTAGTATCAGAAGGGGGTTTGTGGAGATTGTAGTAATTTCAGTAGAGATCATCAGTTAAATAGTTGTGAGATAGCAACTTATTGAAGACAATGGTGGATGTATCACTCAATTTTGTGGATTCGTCGGAGTTAAACATCAACATTGTTGGACGCCAACTCAGAGGAACCGGATATCCTAGGTTTGAGTTCCGTGTGTGGAATATTGGATATGCACCACTGATGAATCCCACAATAGAACGAAATGGCTATCCAATGTTTCTAGGTTTTCCATGATGGTATAGTTTCAATTGACTCATGATATTAACTATTGAAATTACTACAATCTCTACCAAACCGCTTCTGATTTATGATGTGTTTGTTTTTTCATAAATCATTCTTCAATATTGTTGTTTATATTATTTTCTATTCACATAAACTGAAATTATCAGAGCCAACGATGAATTGATCATTGAAATGAAGTCAGGAGTTCAAGATGAATTTGATAAATTTAACTGTTTTTTTTTCTTGTTGTTTACCAAGATCTTTATCTTAAATTCAAATAATAGTGCATGGTCGTGTAGATTGTTGAATTTCATTGATATCAAGAACTGGTCAAAATTAGAAAACCATACTGACGATCTTCACAACCCTATACTGATAAGTATCATGTGTTCATAAGTGACTATCTTCAAGAGGAAATCTCCGGGGTTCTAGTGAATTGATGCTAGATGGAAGGTTATATGTTCTATTTCTGATTGTAAGATGGTGAATACTGAAAATTCTCATACGAACACAGCTATCCATTCCTTTCGGGCTTTTAATGGTAGTCTGACTAAGATCAGTCTATGATGTACATTATAAAAAATGGATATTACCAAAATTTGAACCAATCAATTTATTTTTTGAAAAAAAAAGAAAAGCACCCCTTCTTTCCCCCTCCAGAAAAAAACAAGTTGAATGAGTAACTTACAGCTTCAATGACACAAGGTGTAGTTGGTTCACATTTGTCTTGGATAAATTGTTGTAAAATTACATCATCTTTGAAACTGGCACGTTTTGTATAAATATTGTATGTTCCAAGTGTAGCTAAATTTATGGGTAATTATTCAACAACAACAGACAAAAAGAATATAAGTCAGTGTTATTATTGCAAATAGTATTTATAAATGTTAATAGTAATTGTAAGCAATGATGGATAGTGGCTAGCAGTGGAATCCAGACAATACCAAGTGAATGTTAATAGTAATGTTGATAATTTCCTAATCAACACACCATTCATACATTACAAGTTGTAAATAATAAACTAACATAAACAGATTATCACTATAAAGGATTTGTAGAGTTTGTTTAATTGCATACTTGTCAGAAAGGGCATCGGCCTCGTGACTTCCAAAGGAATTCGGCTTTCATCATGAGACGTCATAGTTCTTCTAAATGAAGACCTTCTGACTCCCAGGGCAGAGTTTAAAAGGTTTGAATAATTTTTTCTGGTTAGCGTTTTTTAGCAAGTTAGTTTTCTACGGGATGGGGTCGCTAACCCCATGCCCAACCCCCCTCCTTTATCCGGGCTTAGGACTGGCAGTAGCCCCCAGAGGGACTCCAGGCGGAGTTGTTGAATTACATAATTTACATAAATAAGTAGTGTTATTTAGATAACCATTGAAAACTGAGAATTTGTGAATATCTGTTTTTTATCTAAGTATGGCAATGTATATTAAAGACCTAAGTGAAGATCGAACACATAACCTTCATATTTCATGAAAAGTGCATTGACTTTGAACTATGGATTCGGTATTCAATGGTCAATATTTCTAATCAAGTCCAATGTTAGATATTTAACCACCAATGAGATTGTATAAAGGGTAAGCAATATAGAGAATTGATTATAGTTAGGCACAAAATTCAGTACATAACTAAGCAGTAGTTTAAGGGTAAAAAGCTCACCGCAAAACCTGAAGGTTTTGGGTTTAATCCTCAGTAGAATCTTGGATGTTCAGTGTTAAAGAGTCGTAGGACGAAACAACTGTCCCATGCTTCCTGATTTGCATGGTGTTTTTTTTTACTAAAATTAGTCCATATTTATGAAAAAATGACACTTAACTTTTACGAACCTCATAGTAAATATATTTAACCAATTAGTAGTGTGTATTTTTTGCGCCATTCACAAATATCTAAGCTATTCGAAATAGGGATTTTTGCTTAAATGTCATGGGAAATAAAGTGATGGGATTATACTCAGTTCAAGGTTGAATGAAATTGATTTTTTTCTACTTTGATTACTGGTTAATGCATAAAATAAAAAAGCCACCTATGATGAATAGAATTATTTATTATAGTCAATATCGGACATTGTATAAATTACATTTACCTTTAAAAGAGGATACTGGAGAAGAAAGAGAAATTTATTATCATATCTTGGAGATTACTTAGGTTTTGTATAGATGAACTGAAACTAAGTTGCATACATCAGAAGGTAGAGATTTAGTGATTTAATATAACAGAAAGCAGTCACCAATATGATGTGGAAATTGTTGAATTCAATTGAAACCATAAACCGATACAAGTTTAAAAGAAACACTGAAAATCTAACATTTCGTCCTACTATGGGAATCTTCAGTAGTGCACGCTCACGACCCCTCAACCTATAATTAAATTCAGAATTTTCGGTTTCTCACGTGGATGCTTAACTTGTAGAACATTTGGTCAGTACTCAGTGGTGTACAAGTCTCATTTAAACCACTCCATCATATTGAACAACCATCTTTCATTGTCTTCAGTGGTTAACTTCCTCATACGCGACACGCAAGAACTCCACTGATCACGGACTCCCACTAGAAATGTTTCATTGGTTAATCACCGATTCGAAATCGAAAGTGTATGCTTATCTACTCTCTTCTGTCTCAGCCAAAACAAAATGTGGCATCAGTGCTTGAAGTCACTAACTTTTAGTCTTATCCATGTTGGTAGATGCAGGCTACTTGGTTGGAGTCCGCGTTACTGTCGTAACCAATGGTTGGAGACTCTGAGTGATATGGATCAGAATCGATCACAATGCTATAGATGTATACATTCTCTATCTTCCCTTGAACTAAGAGATTAAAATCGCTTCATATCTTTCTTTCTACGAACTAAATCTTTCTTCCTGTTCTATACCCTTACACACAATCCTTCTTTTATATATTACTATCATAAAAATAACATTCTATGAATTCAGTGTTCATCTTGTAATGATAATGAGGTGTGGCAACTTGGACTGATGCATATAAGTTCCTGATCCTACGTTGTAGCTAACTGACTGACAAACACATCTACAAATACATATATGTATGAGATAAAAGGGTAAGTCACGTTACAGTAAATAATTAGACAATTAAAAGAAAATCCGTTGAAATACTTATAGATAATATTTATTCTCAACTCTATTTCTTCTTATTCTGTTGAGATGAATATCTGCAAAGTTTTTTTCTTTAAGGTTGAATAGCCAAGAAATTCGGTTAACAATGCAATTTCATCAGTTTGATTCATCTCATGTGTAAAATTGAAATTTATACATGTCACGTTTCATATAAACGATTTCAGGTGAGTACTTGAAGTCAATAAATTTGATATGAATCTTCTATTGACTCATATTTCCTTAGCTTTCAATCCTACAATTAACTTTAGACTATCGTGTGGTTGATGTTTTTACAAATAATCGATGGGTTTTAGTTAGCGAATATAAACTTTGTACGGATTACCTTGATATAAACTTTATGACACAAGTTTCTATAGAATAGGTGGAATGTAGCTAACAGTGGAATCCAAGATGTGAGCTTCATCCGATCTTGGGACCTCTTAACTGGATAAACCTTCATTCAATAATTTATGTTCACTTCGGGATTTAATCCCAATAGATTTCGCTTCAAATGCTACCACATTAAACTAGTAAGTGTCTGTCTGAACTCAGTAGCTAAGTGTGTACCGGGTTCTAGTTCATAGATGAAAATTAAATCTAGGATACAGGTACATCCTAATTAAAAGTCCTAGATAAGACAAGACGCTTGTTTTGGTTTCTATTGCTAGTTAGATTCCATATATTCTAATTTACAACCATTTATTACAAGACAAAGCAGTATTCAAAGTACCTTCTGGGCCAACTAAATTGAATTCCAGATATATCAAACAATATCATTCTGTTAACTATGGTGTATAATATTTTAATGACTGAATAAAATCCTTTACATCGAAAATCTTCTCCTTCTTACGTACAAAAGAAATCAGCCTAATTATGTTTAATAAAGCATATAAAGTAATTTCTGTCCTCCAGCATAAATGATATATTTCATTGGTGACTTAGCAGCATGGTATATATACTCACATGTTATAATGAATGAGATAAATACTTAAAATGGTATTATTTGTTTCGAATAACAAAAAAAGACAATGATTTTTAAGCTAATCTAGTTTGAACCTAAAAGCTCAGTACTATACCAGAGTTTTAACAACAATAATAACGGATTAATTTAATGAGGTATTCTTGGAGTTAAACCGAAAAACCGTGACTAGTAAATTTCAACCATATTAGATCTGCGGTAGTCACACATAAATGACCCCAGGAGATGGTTGCTAGACATCGTGTATTGACTTAAGTTGAAAATTTAAACCACTGTTTGCAAATTCACTGGTCCATGGATTGAGAGGTAGTGGGTTTTCATTGACAGGGTTCAAAACTAGGACAAATGAATTATCCAGTGCATGTTACCTTTCGGTAACTATCTAACTAACATCAGTACATAATATAAGCTATAAGTGTAGAGCATTATCAAAAGTCACTAACTGCAAAACAGCTACATTTGTTATGGATGCGCACTGCTGAGGATTCCCACAATAGAACGAAACGGCTATTCAGTGCTTCCATGTTTTCTTTCGTGGCTTAGCTTTAATTGACACATGATCTCAACTATTGAAATTATTACAATCTCCACACAAACCTCTTCTGATAAAAATAAAAATGTCTTTTAAGTAATCTATCATTTAAATTCACTTAGTGTTGTTTTACTTCTATCTTCCCATTGTTATTTAGGACTGCAATTGATCAGTCTCATGTTGGCATATGTGCAGTCCTAAATAACAATTGGAAAGTACAAGTAAAACAACACCAAGTGAAGTTGAACTTCATCCCATTGCATAAGCAAGTGGCTATCAGGATTCAGTAGCTAAGTGGATAACGAGATGGCGTTTGAAGCAAACGGTACTAGGTTGGAGTCCCAGAATGACCATCAACTTTGGGATGCAGGTGATTCCATCTGACGAGTCCAAAATAGGACAAAACGCGCGTCCTAGATTCCACTGCTAGCCATTATCCATCTTTGATTAAAATCTATGATTTATTTATTACTAACTAGTCTAAAAACGAAATAGATTTTTCACCTTTTTTTGCAAACTAAAATGCCTTGATTTGTATATACTCAACCTTGATGAAATAGTAAAACGGCAGTTCGTTTTGAACACTGGGTAAAATAAACTGTGGTACATTGTAAATTAACTAAAGTCGATTCAGCAATACAAAATTTGAAAAAAAGATTCTCACTGAATAAAACAAATTCCACAGTCATAAACTGTAACCAAAATGGTGTAGTAAATGAATACTACTAACAAATTACAACACTCAGTTTAAAAATTATGGCCAACCGTACTTTTTTCGACAAAAATCAAACAAACAGACAAATTAACAAGATTTTGTTACTGATGATATAAAACATCAATCAGGACCCGCCCTTCCTCTCGAAATGCTCTCATACAGCCACGTGCATACAATCACTGTCAGGGAAGTCCTACACACTGCCTTCTCTCAACATTACTGTTGTTTGCAAACTTAAGAGAACGAAAAGTGAATGCCCGGCGATTTAACCAGGTCGGTGGACACGGAGAGTCCACCTAGGAGAGTTGGAAAACCCTGATTCAAAACCAATGGTGCATATTGGCTCTATGATCCTGATGGAACAAATGGCGTATGAATCAGTTATTGGCCACCGGCTACCATGGGACTGCATCTCCTCATCTTTCTCCACTGCCTTGTGGATCAGATCTCCGGGTCAAAGGCTCGG